CGATATTTTTATGGGGACCCTCTGATATTTGAAATAAAATGTTGATGTTATAAATTTTGAAAACAATTGTCACTGATATTTCATATTTTATAGAAATGTTTTGGTTATTTAAAAATGATTTTTTTTTTTGGAAATTTGGGTCGTTACAATCTTCGTCAACTCCGCAAGGGAAACTTCGACGCCGAATAGTTTTTTTCGTCAGGCTTTTCAATGCCATAACGCCTCACTAATATGTTCGAAACTCAGAAGGCCGGATCCTAAGGGTTCGGGAAAGGTCTGGGAGAAATTACAGAGAAAATGGGCAAGAAATGAGGAAGGGTTTGACTCTTATTTATAGTGATTTTCGATAGGCGCACCGCACAGTAACATAAAGTGTCTGGTATAAGAGTTGTCTCCGGTTTTGCCACATAGCGCTCTTTGGGAGGTTCCACATTGTCGTCTTCGCAAGTATTTTTCGTAATCTTTGAAAAATTATATATCTCGCATATGAGCTCTTTTTTCAACGTTCTCTATATCTACATATTTGTATTTCCGAGCACTACAATTTTCATTTAGATTTCATTGGCTAATTCGTATTTTATTTTCACTTTACAATCTATAAAGATTACACTATAAAAGATGTTACGAAATTCATATATTCTTCATACGAGCTTCGTTATCGACGTTCTTTATATCAACGGATTCGTATTACAAGGACACCTATTCTTTTTTACACTATTTTGCATAATGAGCAACCTATTTTCATTTCGTATTTTACAATAAATACCGATACACTATGTTGAACGCGCAACTTCGAAAAATCATAACTTCCACATATAACGTTAGATTTTGACTTTCTTTTATACTCACTAGCTCGTAATCAAGACTACTATAACTTTCGTTTAGATTATTTTTTCAAAATAATCTTTTTATTATAAATATTATTTAACGTAATTTTTAAGTTTATAATAAAGTTTTATACAAATATTATATGTCAATAATATTTGTCCATAAAACATGTACGTATTAATTAAATATAATTATCATTTGTATAATTCGTATCGTGTACAAATAATTCTTATTAAGTCACAACTATCTTATTCGAAGATTTTAATTATTCAATAAAATGAATAATAATAACTTTAATCCCTCTTCTAGTCCGAATTCATAGATGTTATACCGCTTCCCAATTCTTCATTTCTCACTAAATCGTTTACCAATTTTTTGGTTCTCGGACCAGTTTAGTATGATTCCGAAGAGATGCTCATCCCGAATTCTCACCATCATCACAAGGAGAATCTGGATTATTTATATTATTTTTCTTTATGTTATTTTTTCTTTTGGATATCATCTTAAATAGATAATGTTATTATTATTATTAAATTATATAATATTAACAATTTTTTTCAAAGTCAATTACCGAAATCATGTTTCCTACGTGTCATTTTCTAAGTACGACGATCACATTTTTATTTATTTTTTATGATTTCCGAACGAGTTATAGATTAAAACACTATATTGGCATTGTCTATATATATATATATATATATATATATTATATATATATATATATATATATATATATATATATATATTATATATATATATATTGATTTCTTAAATTATTTAATTAATCGGATCGCACCTCATTTAATTATGTTACAATGTCGGTTAGAAAATGTTAATATGTTATTGACAACTTCATTTGCCTACTTCGGATGAAAACTGAATGTTAGATAAAATATGTTATACTTAGAGGAATACTTGAAAGTTTTCTAAAGAACTAGTAATTGGTATTTACAAAAAGGAAGAATGATAGATTGTTTTTTGAGATTTGATAGTTGCAAAATAAACAACCCATAGTTTTATTAATTGTTTAAAGTTATAAATTAACAGATAAATTATTGTTTGAGGTTTAAAATCATTAGACGAATGAGAAACTATTATCTTTGGTTTAGTAATCAAGAGAATTGGCATATAAAAGAAAGTAACAAGATATTTTATTCAAGTTTTTAAAAAAAATTGTGACTGGTTATGGTCTGACCCTCAACCGTCATAGAGGCGTGATTGGACAAAACGTCCTTTCCACCTTTTGTCTTATTCACGCATTCTCCTAACCCTATAAAACCCCCCCTCCTTCTCTCCATTTCAGTGTATTCACATTCATCGTTTCTATTCCATTCTACACACAGAGAGAGAGCTACTGAGCTAGATTGAAAGATTGGAATCATCAATGTCAAACAATCAAGGAACCCAACAAGCTGACGGACCTCCACTCAACCCTTGGGGACCGGTTCCCTATAGCTTCGGGTTTGCAATATTCCTGGTTTCCATGATTGCAGCTGCCAATTTCTTCTGGGGCGTGAAGACGAACTGTTCGCTATACAAAGCGTACACGTTTTTCATCATTTTCACTTTGATAATCGCCTTACTTTTGCTTGCAATGGATGCAACCCTTTTCCTTGTGAAGAAAGTTAAAATAAGAGAGTTTCTGGTCACCTTGAAAAACCACACTATGTGGCTAGCCCTTCTATTTGGCTGGATAGGGTTTACATTATTCAGCTTCTACAAGGCGAGAGAATACAGATTTGGTAGGGATGTGACAATTACTACGACCGTGATGTTGGGCTTAGGCCACGTTCTTCTGTTTTACCTCGTTTTGGTAGATATGGGTTGGGTTAGAGGAATACTATGCATTGGAGAACCACAGGGAGAAGAAAGACCACCAGTGGTACAACCAGTTATTCCACAAGACCCAGTTATTGCACAAGAACAAGCTGAAAATCTGGCATGAAGATAATGATGATTTAGAGACGAAGATTTAAGTTTTAGAGTTAATTTCAGTCATTTTAGTTTATATTTCCCCTTTTTTTTAACAGCTAGACGAAGTTTTTATTTTCCCTATGTACAGCAAAATGTTGAATTAAAATATCTTTTTATAATCTTATGTTATCATTTTTTGTGAATCTTTTCTTCGGTATATGAACTGTTACATTTTATTTTTATATGAACCATATAGAGAGATTGTAAAACTGCGGAATATAAAACACTTTTGGATTTATTAATTTAGTTAGTGATAGTTAAATTTCAATGTCTTAAAGTTCAGAATTTCAAACATGAGATATACAAAATATGTGTTAAGCATGCTGCTTGATAAATAAAATTTTAATTAGTCTAGAAGTTTATTGATTTTATTTTTTTCTGAAATTAAAAGATAGTTGTTTTGTGAGGAAAATTATATAAAGTTTAAAATTTCAAGATTATCGTGAAATAGAAAAAACTAAGTAGACAGGCTATTTGATACTTATATTTATCATTTTAGTTAGAAGAATCCTCACTTTACACAAAAATAAAAAGATTAGTTTAAAAATTCAGACAAATATATAACAACCTAAATACTACCATTAAATATAAATTTGTAGTTTCTTATAAAAATATTATATTTTCATTTAAACATTATTTTTATTTTATATTCTACATTTTACTCATATCACTCACTTCAAACTTTCATACTTCTTCAAATTTTCAACTAATATTATGATTAATGGTTTTTATTATTATATTATAAGGATGCTATTTTTATATTAAATAAATCTTTCAAAATTTATTTTCATCGTATTGTTTCTCAATTACATTTATTTATAGCTAGATTAAGACTATCAATTTAGTTACAATCGAAATGTCAATATAAACCCATTGTGACAGTTGTTTCATACACTTCGTTGGTGCATTTTTAATGTATGAAACATAAGAAAAACTATAATTTACTCTAATAATATATAACAAATATACAAATTAAAATTTTTTATATTGTAACTTTACCTTAGAAGTCTAAAAAAACCTCAAACAAACACAAAAACTTTTAAGTTTTTTTTAATTGTTTGTTTATATTTATTTGTTTATATGACTTTTGTATACGATTTGTGTATATACATGTATGCTTACTCAGACTATTACCCCTTTTTATAGTAATAAAAATTACAAATAATCGAAATAACAAAAACAACATAAAATTTTAAATATCAAAACTTGTATTATATGGAGATAATGCTAATATCATAATTGACCAATTAATAATACCAAAAATCTCAAACTAAAATCCAAATTTTGAACTAGCTAAATAAGTTTTGACTTGAATTGAATTACAAATTAGACATAATAACATAATGACATATTTAAATAATATTATTATGGGGGCACTATTTGATAAGCATATATTCATTCTCCAAAGACATATTTATACACTCATGTTTAGCACGAGATAATGATTTTGTGTGAGTGAAAACTATTAAATTACTTTAGGAAATTTAATATTTCGAAATGGATTAGGATATTACACGACACTCAATCATCTAATTCAAAATAGATATTAAAAGATTACTTCATTTGTTAAAAAAAAGGTATATGTAGCTCCCAAATGGTCTCGAGTGGGCAAAAACACTCTACGACATAATGACGCTAGCAATGCTCAAATCATATATGTGATAACATTATTAAAATATTGGGTTTTTGACAACCATACGTAGTATTTCAATGTTTGGTCAATTTGCACATTTAGTCATTAAAGATTTTTTTGTGCTTAATTGATCCTTAATGTTAGTAAATACCGACTAATTGCCCCCTTATAAACCTAGTAAATGGAACAACCAATGGTATTGCTTATGTGGAATAAATTTAAATTATATATTTCATTTTTTATTAGTCAAAATAAACACATTTATTTACACACAACTACACTCTTTCTTCGTTCTTACTTTTTCTCATCTCTTAGTGATTGCGAAGCACTAAACCTAGGGTTCGATGTCGTTTTCTCCAATCAAAGTCAGTGAGCAGTCATCCAACCCGCAATATCTAGCTCGACGCCAGATTGTGATGGACTCTGCCCTATAGTAGAGCTGAACTTCAAAGGTGTTTTTCTTAGAAATTCTTTCTCGTATAACCATGGTATTAATTTCAGTTTCAACGATCACGATTTTTCTGGAATGACATACGCTGAATGTATCACCTTTCTCGAACGGTTCATGCAAGAAAGTATAAAGAAGTTATACTACTGTGAACCAGGTAAGCCCTTAATATCTGGGATAACTGCTATTGTTAATGATGAAGACTATGGTGGTTTCATTTTTCATGCATATGGGACGGATGGTAAAATTTGTATGTATGTAGACCATGACGGTAAAGGAATGGACGATTGGTTTGGTTTTGACGTAGAAGAGGAGGATGGAAATAATGTATGCATTGATGGTGATAAGAATGAGGACGAAATTGGTAACCTAACAGGTGTGGATCCGGACTTTAATGAGGACATAGTCACTATGAATAGGACAAAAGGTGATGACTTTCTAAATAAATTATGTGGTGAAGAGGAAGATGGAAATGATAACAACATAGATGATGATGTTGGGCGTGAAGACGATGCTAATGTAACTCAACAACATTCCATTTTTAATGAGTTACTTCCATGGAAAAAGCAGTTCCCAATACTTGGTATGAGGTTCAAAGATCCAACTCAATTAAAATCAATATTATGCAACTATGTTGTTGCAAATAGGTACCAACTTTGCTTTGAGAAAAATGATAGGAAACAAAATGAATACTTACCAAATAATTTTTGAACCATCGAAACTTCACTGCAGCTTAACCAACTTCTTTTGAACCTTCGAAACTTCACTGAAGTCTTTTTTTCCTTTTCATTTCAAACCTCATTTTGCGAAGCTGGTCTTTGTAGTAACCCTCCTCCATTTCTTTGTCTTTCCACATAAAAAAAAACTTGCATTTTGGACCTTCAGCTGACTGATTAAAAGGGAAGACCAAGATTAGGGTTAGGGTTACGATTAACGCAAATGTGTACATTTCCAGCTCAAAATAACAAAAACGGTGTAAGTAAACAAAAGGAATACTCACCAAAGAGTTTTTGCAGTTCCAAAACCTTGGAGCTACTTTATCATAAGTCCAGGCAGTCCTTTCCATGCTTATTGCGTCTTTGCAATCACAAGGTGGACATGGTTCATCATCACGAAGGTTTCCGACACGCAGGAGGTTGAATGGTCGATCGGAAGAGGCAGACATTGCTCTGGTTATATCGATTGAGTGTAGAGTATCGGGAGGGAGGCACTGACCTAATTTGGGGTAACAATGTATCGTCGATGGTTCGAACGAGGGTTCCATTTAAGGAAGGTTTCCATGTTATAAGATTACATGGTCAAATGGTTGTCTACATAAGGCAATACACGTCAGCAGTGACCCCTAAACGATAACATTTTCTCCCATTTTTTTAATTAGCCGGTATTTAGTAACTTTAAAGATCAGTTGAGCACAAAAAATGTTAATGACTAAATGTGCAAATTGACCAAACATTGATGTGATACAGTGTCAAAAACCCTAAAATATTTACCCTTTTAACATTACGTATATATCCTTCGTCAAATTACTTCTCATATATGTTCATATGCAAATCCTTATTTTTGAAAAGAGATTTTAAAATGATACTAGCGTATTCATAGGAACTTATCGGATAACTTTGGTGCCATAAGCTTGTAAAATTTCAACAAGCTATTTTAAGAGTTTTCTTTTAAATAGATAGCCTTTTCATTTTTCGCTTGCTATATCTTTATATTAGAAATTTCATAATTCTAATTACACTACGTATTTTTAATTATCAACTCATCCTACATAAACTTTGTGTGACATTTGATTTAATCAGTTGTTGAAATGTTTCCGATTGAGTTTTAATTGCACTGTGTATTTGTTTCCTAAAAAACTAACCCCATCGGTTGTTGATATGTTTCTGATTGAGTTCGAATTTAACATTAGGTGTTGAATGAGCAATGCAATAATATTATATTGATTATAAAAGGGGACATATTGTGAAGTTTTTAATGTCAATCATATTATACAACTACAAAATTTGATTATTTGAATGTTTAAAAATCATAATAAAATCTACTTTTAAAGAACGAAACATATTAAAGATCAAAAAAAAAAAAAAAAAAAAAAGCTGGGGCAATATTATTTATAAAGATCAACTAATCAGGTGGAGACAAAGAAAAAAAAATGTAATTTAGCTTGAATTATCTGACGCGAAAAAGAATGGGATTGTTTGTTAGTTTGTTACAAGAGGTAGTGAGGCGCGTCGAGCCGTCGACACCATATTTCTGACAAGTGGCATACAATCCCATATCTTCTTACACTATGTCCCTTCTTATTTTTTATATACTTTTGTTATATTTTATTTTATTTTTTGTTAAATTTTAGATATATTACTCACCAATTTCATGCCTTCACTTATCACTCATCATTTTAATTGAATTACAATGAAGTTCCTCGAACTTTAGATAGGGTTAACAATTTTTATGGAAACGGATTATTTAAATTATTTTCTAAGATAAAAACAAACCAACATAATTGTGTACAAAAAATGAAAATATCATACTAAAAAGTTTCGTCTAAACTTCAAATTTTATTATAACTTCTTTAAACTTTTTTAAGTCCGTTTAATCAATTTTTTATATACTCTTTTAGAACCTCTTTTAGGCTTCTTTTACAAACAAAATTATAAATTTTTTGATAACTTTTTTTTTAATTACAACCTTTTTTAAAGTTTTTATTGTATTTTTTACAAACTTATCAAACTTTTCCTATAACTCATTTAAAGTTTTTACAATTTAGGCAGGTATTTTTGTAAGACTTTTTGATAAAAGTTTATTTTGAAAATGTATTAAACATGAAAAATAACATAAGAGAAAAGTTAATTTTTTTTTGAAACTTTATAAAAAAGTTAAAGAAAACTTGGAAAAACATAAGTAAAAAAGATTGAAAAGTTGAAAACATAAGTAAAAAGTTCTTAAAATTTATAAAATAGTTTAAAACGGCATAAAAAGTTTAAACAAAAAAAAACCTAAAAACTGTAACTAAAAAAGTTTTATAAAACATGAAAATCTGTTGGTAAAAAAGTTGAAAAAGGTTGAAACGTTGGATTTTTTTTTTAAAAAAAAAAGAACATAAAGTCTTAAAAGGTTAAATGTTTATAAAATAAAATGAAAACAAGTTGTAAAAGTACAAAATAACTAACAAAAATTTATATAAAATTTGTAAAAAAGAAATTCTTCAAAAACTAAAATTTTTAGCCAAATTTATGAAAAAATGATTTGGAAAGAAGGATTCATAAAAAAAAATACGAATTTATAACAAAATTTAAAATTGGGCCAAATGTTTAAAATTACAAATGGTCGTGTGTATGACTTGAAATACCAGGATAAAAATAAAAAATCTAAGTTTGTTACATTAATTTCTACATATTTAATTGAGTTAGTTAGTGTAAATTAACAAGATACAAAACGGTTATGTTTATATCATTATGATATGAGAAATATAAGGCACAATGAAAGGAAAAAATATAATATATAAACTAGTTAATTAGAGTTTTTCAAATTAATGGGCCAACATAAAACCTAATACAAAATAAACCCCAAAATCTTATAAGACTAACATCCCTGCTCAAACTCACAATGCAACAACAATAAGCATTGAGAGTTTGTCAGATATAAAATAAAACCGAGGAGCAGTCAATGGCTTTGTACGAATACCAACAATCTACAAAGTGGAAGGGACAAAAGTAAGAGAGATAGTGCCATTTTGGAGTTAATGCCGTATGAAATGGCAATCAATCTCAATATGTTTTGTGCGCTCATGAAACATTGAATTATTTGCACTCATTATCACAATCTTGTTGTCACAATACAAAGGGGTATGCTGAGAGATGTAAACGCCCATATCTGCAAGAATCTTAACCAAACAATGTTACAAGTGGCAATAGCCATGGCTCGATACTCAGATTTTGTAGAAGATCGAAAGACAACATCTTGTTTCTTACTCTTCCATGATATTAATGAATCTTCAAAAAAAAATTACCTAGTAGTGGACTTACGATCATAAATGTCACTATCACAATTAGCATCACTATAGGCACATAACTCATGAGGCGATGCATATGGAAACACAAGGGTGGGGAACTGAGTACCACAAAGTTATCTCAAAAATATGAAGAACAACTCCCCAATGAACAATAGAAAGAGCAGTGATAAAATGGCTAACCACATGAACTGCATGAACAATATCCGGTCTAGTGACAATTAGGTAAACCAAACTCCCTATAGTGGTACGATAAATGCTTGTATCTGATAAGGGGAAACCATCAGTTGGAGAATACTTTGCATTACTCCCTATAGACATATCAACTGTCTGATTATCCGTGAGTCATGCAGGTTCTAACAAATCTGAAATATACTTCGTTTGAGATAAAAGATAACCCTTTGGAGACTGAGGAACTTCAATCCCCAAGAAATAACATAGAAAAACCAAGTCTTTCATAGCAAAACGGTGAGCCAAATCATGCTTTAAAGACTCTATACTATCATGATCATCACCAGTAATAATCACGTCATCGACATATTGTTGGAATAGTGTCCAAGGTCATTAACTATTGGTAATATTTCTAATAATAACATGGTCCTTTTGGGTTGCCCTCAAGACCCAAATTGAGTAGAATAAATAAATGAGAAATTGGTTTATTAATTATTATGGTTAATAATTAACTAGAAACTAATTGGAAATATATTTTGGGAATTAATTAACAGTTTAATTAATTAAAGGGTTGAATATTCATTAATCGAGAGTTGGTTAATCTGGAATGTTCCAGAACCCTTATGGAATTAAGGTTAGATGAAAGTCACTCCATCCCACATAGGAAAGGAGTGAAATTTCGTGGTTATGCTCCCATCCCACATGGGAATGAGTACAAAACCTAGGGAGGCATCCAAGGCTATAAATAGGGCCTTAGGGATTTCATTCCTCATTGCACCTTGGCTTGAAGTTTCGCCAACCTTTCTTCCTTCTCCCATAGGGACGATTTTTAACCCTATTTGGGTTTGGGAAATTGACCCTTCTTCTAGTTATTTTTATTCCACTCTTTGGTGTCATTGGGTGTGATACCATGAGAGGGATTCTGGTTTGGGTCCTTTCATCCAAGCAACTTCATGGAGGTTCAAGATCTCAAGCATGGAGATCAAGGGCTACATAAGAGGGATGTTTTCTTCTTTATGTTTTATGTATTCTAGTGTTGATGTAATTAGCATTAAGCCATAGAACCATAGGATGCATGTATACTTAGATATATCATTGTTTCGATTTTTTCGCTGCCTAGTTTAGAGTGTATTTGATGCGTAGAAAATCCAACAATAGTATCAGAGCCATTAGTTCATGGTTACTTTCACCCCAGATCTATGTTTTCTGAAAATACTTGTTTGAAATTGAATGATGGAAGAACAAATGAAAAATTCGTAATATGATAAAACCCTAGTCGCAGCTCACGATGTGAACTAGGAGTTCACGACGTGAACTCGACAGAATCAGGTTTTTCGGATTTTCCTCTACTTTTCAAATATGAAGTTTTGATAAATATGGATAACTACCAAATTTAAAATGTTTTAAATCTGGAAAATTGATAAATATTATTTAAATGTGTTTACTTGAATTTGAATATTTATTTATTTAAATAGTGAATTTAAATATTTAATATTATTTATAGTAGATATTTATAAATTTGAATATTAATCTCTCATAATTTATTAATTGTTACATTGCGTCCTTGCAATTAGTTAGAATTAATAATAGACAACTAAATTTAAAGAGTTTTAAATTTACCCCTACATATATATATATATATATATATATATATATATATATATATATATATATATATATATATATATATATATATATTAGAATTGTGTCTATTATATGTAAAAGAAAGTTACAACATGCGCCCTCGCGTGTTTAAATGTTGACATTATCAGTCCTACCATGACTAGGCTCACCCATTCTAATGTAGTGGTTTAAGGAGCTCCATATGATTCCTAATGAGGTCGGTTTTTAATATGCTTCGTGCTTACCACCCTCACCGCCCTATTGCATTTTGAGAATGGAGTTACCGAAAGGGTTTGATAGTGATAATGGTCAATCAAAAGTATTCTAAATACAAGTATAAAACAAAATCCCGTTTTATTAATAGAATGTGAGTTTATACTATCCATGAAAATTGCATATTCTCTTTATATTCTG